CGCATCCGGGATTCGAGCCCGCGACCTGCGGGTCAACAGCCGAGTACCTTAGCCACTAGACCACCGCAGCGGGGCGTAGAAAACTTTGCTCGCGCCACCATCTCACCATTTTCACCGGGGCTATCACAGATCAGCGCACAAGAATCCGTCATATAGTGAAAGAACTACTGGTGCGTGTTACCACATTTGTGCGATTGAATGTGTGTTAAAGTGAATGCAGGTCAAAGCACACCAGGTGATCGAAATTATATGGAGCCCCCCACAAGCGTGGCTCCTTGAGCCGCTTTGAGATGTTCAAACCTACAACAATGCAACTATTTGTTCTGCGCCAAATAATGCACCTGATCTTACACGTATCTCGAGAAGCAGCATCGAAGAAGCAACAGCAAGAATAATAATAGTGCCGATGTCGTTACGCTTGGACGGCTGCAACCTGCAGTGCTGGAATTGCCTGCGAACGGTTGGCTTCTCCGGAGAGCATAGGAGCCACTTCTGACGATGTTATAACGCTCGGCGAATAGTGTAGCTGGAATCCCTGGAGGCAGAGTGTACGGCGCCCAGAAAACAGTGGCATATTAAGTATAATTCTAGATAAAACTAATGTCCCTTTGCCCTCTGACGTCAACCGTCTGGTGTCGAGATCTCGCATGCGCGGCGCACGCGTCCTTTCACGCCGGCAGTCCAGTCGTTTCACTTGCTTGGAGTGTACTTGCTGATTACACGTAGCGTTTTGTGGTAGGGGGTGCTTTCTTTCTTTTTTCAATCGTTCACGCGATTTATTCGATAAGGACTCGGTTGGCGTGAATATAATAATAATAATTGTTGGGGTTTAACACCCAAAAACCACCATACGAGTATGAGAGACTGGAGGGCTCCGGTAATTTCGACCACCGGGGGTTGTTTGACGTGCGGCCAATTATGAGCACACGAACAGCATTTTCGCCTGCATAGAAAATGAAGCCGCCGCAGCCGGAATTAGAACCCACGACCTTGGGGTTAGCAGCAGAGTGTCAAAACCACTTGACCCCCGCATGGGTTGGTTGGCGTGAAGCGTAAGGTGTTCGCTTAACCCGATTAATCATAACTGTTTTATTTTATTCACGAAGCGTTGCCACATACCGCATTAGTTGCATTTTGTGTACATACATTCTTTGAGGTGAAAACGAGCTGGGTACCGAATGACGGCACCGAAATTGGGAGGCGTGTAACTGAAAAGAAAAGTTTTTCAGATTACTCTAAAAAAAATTAGATGGCCTGGTTGCTGAAATCCGAACTTCAGGCACCTCATCCGGAGGTAATAAAGCTGAAAGCTGAAGTTGAAAGCCTTAAATTCAGCGTAGCTGGTGGTAGCCCTGGTGACCACCCGTCACGGTAGTCTATTCGTTATGGTGCTCGACCACTGAACCGCAGGTCATGGGTTCAAATTCCAGCCGTGGCTTGAGGCCCGCGCGCTTAGATTTAGGTGCATGTTGAAGAAGCCAAGGCGGTCAAAATTTTCGAAGCTCTCCACTAGGCGTCTCTAGCCCTGAATAGTGCTACGTAGACCAACTTCAGTATACATGACGCTTAAGTATGCAGATACCGTGGGTAAGTGAGTACAAGTACCTTTGAGTATGGGTTAATAAGGAAGATAGATGTATGGAGGCACAGGAAAAAACATCGGAAGCAAAGGGAAAGAGGAATGCTGCAATAAAGAAGCACTGAGCGTTATGAAGATACAATAGGTACTAAGTACTTCGAGGTCTCTGGAAAGGCATAATGGTTCTGGGGATTACATTTGCGAACTCAATGGTATGCATGAAGTCAGAGGTGCAATCAGAAATGAATGTATATCAAAGGACTATGGGATGCCTCACGTTGGGCGCTCACGGGAAGACGACAAATGAGGCTGTAAAAGGGAGGGAAAAAATGTGATTTGAAGAGATGCTAAGGAAAATGAAGGAGAGTAGATGGGCAGGGAAGACGCTCAGGTATTCGTATAAGAAGAGCGTGGACACAAAGTGGAGGCAAAGAACTTAGAGGCTCACCAGTAAATATGCCGCTGGCAGTGTGGGCGACAAGGTAACAAGGAGAATGAATGGCGCCCTGAACATTCTTCGAGTAACCATGAAATTAATTGACTAGGAAAGCGTATTGCCCCACAAATTCAACGCCGCAAAAATTTTAAGAATCCGTCTAGTACGGGCGAAGTTACTAAGATTTGTCACACGCTGCAATCGCATTCTTTCTTCTCTCATCCAGATTAAAGTGCTGGAAGGTGCGCATGGAGGTACAGGAGGGGCAAACAAAAAACGTCACGCGCGCCTCATGACCTTGAACACTTTCTTCTTTCTTTTCTTCGAATACGTGGCTTTTTCAGTGCGATCGTCCACGCACGCGTGGACAAGGGACGGCCTCCCGTGGCGATCTCTGTGATGACCAAGCGCCATGTTCAAATCAGCCAATGGCTGATAGATGGACTAACTACGAGCAATTTTTGGGCTTATTATGGGATTTGTTGAGAGAAGAAAAAGCAAGTCTTAGCTGACTTTGATAATTTATTGTGAATTCCAGGCCGCGTGCTGCGCTATAATATTTGTCTCGCTTTTTGTCGGGAGCCTCTACTACCGATCAGCAGCGTTTCCTGACCGTGCTCAAAAAGTGTTGCAGGGCCCCTTCAAGTGAGAGGTCACGCAGGCGGCGGAGAGGATTTATTGGATGACAGCAATGGAAAAGAAGCCGGCTCTCAGTAACTATACCGACAAGGCAAAGACGAAATAAAGAGGGAGAGGTTTTCGTGATAATTCAAGAAGAAGCACTTTACTGTTCGAAGCGAGATCTTATTGCCTCAGAACGCGTAATTATAAACCGACACTCAATAAAAAAGGAGAACATTGTGCATGCTGTGGTGGTGCTAAGGAAACGATGGAACATGTTCTGATTGAATGTGGTAATATCCACCCAGCAATACGTGTGGGTACGAGCCTACTTGAGGCCTTGAGTTTTAGGGACAACCATGGAAAGCTGAACATGTGCGCGATAGAAGCAAGTAAGTGGTGGTAAGAGTATTGGTAACAGAAAAGTACAGATTACGGGCAGAAATTGTGGCAAGAAATGAGGTCGTTCTGCGTGAAGGGGCAGATAGATGGACCAAAAATGTATATATTTATTTGTTGTAATAATATCAATTTAATCGAAGTAGATAAGGCTTTAGGCCAACATAGAAAGAAAGTATTCTTTTAATTTTTTTTTCTTTCGAGCCTGGTGGCACACATGTCAGCACCCCATTATAAAGGGCACATTATATAGATATTCTTTTGTCAAGCAGAATGCTTGGGTTCGATTCCTGCTGCTTCCTTGATATTTATTCCTTGCATTCGTCTGGTCTACGCTGCCGATGTCAGTTTTGCTTAACGCTCTTGCATTTAGATTATGAATGTCTGTTCTAGCAGTTTCTGGGTACAAAATGTCAATAACCTGTGGCTTATACCCGCATACCGCGGCCCGTGCTTTATGGGTATGTGTGACGCGTGCCTAGAGGAAAGGGTTTGACGACGTACGTGACTGGGTTTTCACGTTATTTATTGTCATGATTAACCAGACCTATTCGTCAAACCTTCTTACCCTCTCATACTATTTACTTTTGGTCTACTATATGTTTAGGTGACTATGAGAGCCCCCAAACGTCGTTACGCAACTGTCAGTAACTGGTTATATAAAACATATATATGCGACTTTTCAACATACATACCTGTACGTATCACATTTGTACATATGTTTAACGTCATTTCGTAGCGTTTCTCTCAACATAAAGTTTAAACCACCATCACCTGCCCTTCGCATGCTCCGCATGACATCGGTTCTCATGGTACATGGGATATGTTCAATTTTTTAGTTGTCTAAGTAACTAACACAAGTTAAGTTCTACCCTGAACTTTTTATTTACAGGCACCGTAGACCGAATGTGCCTATCTGTATGTGATTTATATGTAAATGCGATTTATTGAATCTCATAAAATGAAAATTGATCATGAGTCCCCCATACTTCCGTGTGTTTCATTAGGATATCTTAGCTTTGGCGTGTAAATGGACATAAGTTATTGATTGTAAGTTAATTTTTACTCGTATATAGTGTCAAAATAAAACTAATTGCACCAAGTTGACTCTTAATTCATAATTGATTGTACTTCAGCCGCAAGCATGGGTTGTGTAAGGGTCTACAAACAGTTTCCGGATATGAACTAGAGAAACCTCTTGACACGCAAAAAAAAAAAAACATACCTAACAGAAGTTCACCATGCATGCTACCATGAGAATCTGATCTGGCCGCATGTTTTCATAGCCCGTTGACTATGTGTTCATACCTTCTGAAATTAGTTTATTTTGTGTCCAGGCAGCGATGAAAACGATCGCGATGCCATCTATCGCTCAGACACGTGTCTCACCAATGTGTAATTCTTTGTCTTTGCGCATGCTGATAAATTTTGTATTTTTTCTCTCAAGGTGAATACGACCTGAAAAATACACCTGATGGTTCCTCAGTTTCTAAGTGATTCTGAGAAGGTATTTCGACACGTCCACTTTTTTTCTTCAGGGGAACACACGCAGAAGCAGAGAGAGAGAGAGAGAAAGAATGTAGGAAAGGTAGGGAGATTAACTAGACTATTCGTCCAGTTTGCTACCCTACACATAGGGAGGGGGAGGGGGGAGTAAAAGAGAGAGAAGGATAGACACATGTCACATCACACACACAATGCCGAGTTTCACAGGCGGCCCCTCAATGAAGTTGCTGAGAAGTATCTCAGGAGGGCTCGTGTGGCTTTCTGTGCTGATGTGCTGCGCGACCAGGCTCCTAAGATCTTTGCTTCATTAAATGGCCGGTCATCGAGTCTATTCAAGGCACGCAGAAGCAGGCATACCGAGAAGTTCCGGCATGAAGCCGCGCTTCGCTGTGCGCCATTCGCGGTGAAATGCAGCGAGCACCTTCTGGATATGAAAAGAAATCACAAAATGGCCACCAGTGCACACGTACGAGATACAAACTTTTAATAAACGCAACTGGACGAAACAACATTGATGCTCTCTTGATATACATCTATACGTATGTACACCAGTTTCTTCGAATCAAGCCCAAACTAGACTCTTTCCGAAATTTCACAGTCAGCCGCCGGGCTGGCGTATACATGAATAGAGCCGATAAAACCGCAACTTGAAAGACATCGGTCACACAAGAGTGACGGTAAAAGCGCGCTATACACGTATCCTGAAGAGGTAACAACTGCAACGACCCTGTACGAGAGCTGTCGCGAAACAAAAATAATATCGACAGGCTCTCCAAAAGCAACCTCTGAAGCATCCGTTCAGCCCGAAATTCCACACATTTCTTCACACACGACGTATCACACACCAGGCCAGAGACGTAGCCGCTTTGGAAATGGGGGAGACGTGTGGGAAAAAAGTCCCAGGGAACGCGGCCGAGGCTGACGCCGCGCGAGTTTTAAAACACAACAAGACGCAAAAAACGCGCGCATAATACTGTAACGCAGGTGGTGTGGTTCACATGAGATGACTTAGCGTATTGGACGAAACACCGCCATCGCAGCTCACGAAATCTCCGCTTGCAGTTCGCTGCCTCGAAGGTGCAAAATAGCAAGACGCTCTATAGCTGCCCTTAACGCAACTCTAAAACGGTCACGTGATTAGGCCACTGAGAGACCAACTGCGGCACGCAGGACCGTGCCGAGACGCGTATTTAAGCTTACTCGTAGGCAGAGAAGAACCGAATGGGCGTGGCTTTTAAGTCCGGCCGATTAAGTTCGTAATATTCAAGCAGCAATTTTCTCTCGTCATCGGTTGCCTCATATCAGTGGGGAGCGAATGGGCTGCTACTTCGTGGTGCTCCGATAGTTTTACTACTGCTACTTCTGCCAAGGTAGCCACCGACGCGTTTGCAAACCGATCTACAGGCTGAAAACTGAGGTTAACCTTCAATGCAGCCTTATTTTTAACAGCAAAAATTTTCAAGCACCGCAGGGTTGGAAGTCAGGCCCAGCAATCATGCGCTAAACTTCAGCATGCTGGGCCCACTCTTTCCTCCCTACATTTTTTTGTTCGTTTTGTTGAAGTTTTTTGACTTTTAAAGAAAAAAAATCTCTTCGAATGCATGTATTTATCGTCACCGATACGCACGCCCAAGATGGCCAGATGGTGCTCTGCGTCAACAAGTAAGCGTAAACACGCTTTCGGGACATTAATAAACCTAGCGAACAAACGAACAAAAAAAAGAACAAACGAACAAAAATGAAACATGACAAGTGCTCATTTCATTCTCTTCATGACACGCGCCACTAAGTAATCGGCGACAAAATGAACTAATGTGAAATGGAACGCGAGTATAAAAGCTTAGCTTCGGCCGCTTAGTCCTGACAGGTTCCAAGTCCCCCATAATCCGAGCGCTCCCTGGCTACGCTACAGCATGAAAGACCGATCCGAGCGCATGGATTTCTGAGGTTTCTTTCTTTTTTTCCCCTCCTCTTCTCTTTGTGCAAGTGAGGAGTAGAGGCCAATTTCTTTTTGCCGGTTTCAACAATATGGGACCTAGAGGCCACTTGGGTCACAACCTAAGTCAAGCTAACGCGACAGATGACCTCGTTGCGTTGACGGCACTGTGGCAATGCCCATCGGTGCATGATTTCGGAAAGGGTCTATAGTGCAAAGCAGGCGCGAAGCAAAGCGGGCCAGCTGATGAAACGAGGTGTCGTGGGTGGGGTCGACAATAAATAGAGGGGTGTGGGTCAGTGGGGCCTGGCAGCAAGCCTTGGCGGGGTGGGCCCGGACACCAGTGGAATGTTCGACGACGCTATGTACAGCAATCCAGCCAGGTTGGAGGATGAGCTCGCATCACAACGCGGGAAGCAGCGACAACTGCGCGGTGAACACAGTCCTACACCTTGTCCGGCTGCGAGAGAAAAGAGCACAGCATTTGTGAACTCTTGGGAAGAAAAGCCATACATGAAAATTCGCACAAGAACAACGTAACGCCCGAGTATAGATAAACACTTCTACTGAAAGAATTTAAAAAAAATTATACCGTGATAGCGAAGTTGTACCATATCGTACAATAAACGTTTACTCCTCCTAACCATGATGAGGTTTTCTCTATGTCCAAGGAATCTCAAAAGTGTTTTAATTAACGTTAACGTCCTGCATTTATTTGTGCTGCCACCCTTTGTTCGATTTTTCGATGAGGATCCTTTTACACAGCTTGTCAGTTCTAAATTGTTTTGCTTGGTCACGTATGGTTGGTCCATCTGTAGAGGCTTAGAACTACATGTTTCGCGCAGTTTATCAGAATTTTTGAGACGGTTTTGCTAATTCAAGAATCAAGTCAGGCTTTTGCTGCTCGTTGCGCTGTTATATCTACTATAGGAAAAAATGGCAGAGCAAGATTACCAGTGTAGGATAAAGGAATGTCGACGTCCGGTCGACGCCATGCGAGTTCTCCGCAGTACAAGTGTAGCCTCCCATGTCATTCCAGGCAATATTCCGAATCTCGAGATCACCGTTTTCAAGAACCTGCGAAGAGTATGAATGGTCATTTAAATGTTGGCATTGACTACTCGCAAGTCACAACAATTGATTTCTCAGCGCGTAAGCATGCAGAACTGTTGCTTAAGTATCTACTGGGAAAACATCCCGCTCTTTCCTGATGGGTTCCAAGCATGCAGTTTTACAATCAGACAGTGGGTGCCACACATGCCACAGTCTTTGTCAATGTCAGGATTTCCATTCGCCCATCGTTAGGCCAGCCACTACAACATAAATTACCAGAAAGAAAAAAATATGGCACTGGAAATACTCGACAGTGTTTATTACGTTAATGTAACGCCAGTTTACTACTCATGGAGACAAAGAAGTAGCAAGGTGCAACTAATGCTTGCAGCACCCACAAGAACTTGCAACGTCACTTAGGCAATCAAGAGAAATGCAGCATATGCATTCAATAAAGAATCGTGTTGCCAACTCATCTTGACGCGGCACCAAGTAGTTCACGAGATACATTTCATGAATAGAGATGTTCGATGAAGAGGATTACAGGCATTTATATATGTCATGTGATCAGAGACCATTCGGATACCCGCTGAGTGGCCGCACCTTGTATTTGTCGCTGTTTTGCAGTTCAGTGTCGTCGGGGCCGAACCAGGACACACTGGGTTTTGGAGAGCCGATCGGTCGGCAGAAGAGCTGCACAGTGCTGCCCATCAGCTCCAGGCGGGTGTGCGTCCACATGGTGATACGGGCAGGGACACCAGGCGCCACTGCACGAGAAAAAAAAAGAAACAGCTGTCAATGCAGTCGTGTAGCATGAAGTCCAACATTACAGCAAGCATCACTTTTCTTCACTGATTTACAGTCTGCAGTTTAATAAGATGGCCCGCATTGTTAAAGTGATTGGGGGCGGTTATACGAACAACAGAGCTGCTTCATACCGCGCACTCCTTCAGCAAGGCATCAAGGGTAGCTTAGAAGCGGCATTTCTTACATCATAGCGAATGGAACGCAACATTTGCCATAGTGCCACGCTCGCATGGCATGCTAGTCAAAAGCACTTGCATCACAAGAGATCGGAATAAAGGTGTATTAAAACTTGCTGGACTGCTCGGTAATACGTCATCTTGAAAATGAGGCTCAGCTCGGCACTCCCTCAATCCCACACGCATTCACAGACGCAAGTTTACGGAGTGATGCCGGGAGTACTTGGGTGTATGAGTGCTCATTCCCAAGGGAAAGAGAACCAAGATGGACACTAAAGCGGTCACTCCTAAGGGCGACCGTTCTAGGCCGTATACTCACCGAAGGACTTCTTGACGAGGCACAGTGGGCTGGAGTGAGCCGATCCGATCTTGGTGACCTTGACCTTGGTGCTCTTGCTGATGCGGTGATAGGGGTTCTGGGCGACGCAGGTGTACTCGGCCTCGTCGTACTGCGATGAGGCGCAATCAATGAACAGCCGCGATCTTGTGAAGCTGAGGCCAAGCATGGGCGCCCCCTCTGGGTTCACCTCCTGTTCGGTGCGTTCGCTTCCCGTCAAGTCCTGCGCAATCGAATGACAGGACGAGGTGAAAAAAATTGGTAAACGGGTTAGGAGCACTGGAATGGGCCAAAATTATGTGCCGTCCGCGAAATGGCTAACCTAAAGTCGTTTGTATCGTGTCGCGACTGTCTGCCACGAAGTCTGCGCGGTCTCGGAAAAAGATATATGCAGCGGTTTATTTGAGGTCGTGAGAGCTGGCGGTATGCATGCGTCAAGCGCACGTCTAGAAATTTACACGAAAATTGGCGCACTTGTGCCAATTTACACAAAAGCTGCAGGCTAAGTTCAGATAACTATTTGCGAATGGCAGAGGCACACTGCTGGTCCTCAATTAAGCTCAGATGAAACCAAACGTAGCTGTCACTGTGAAGCAATATTTGGTGGAAACGTGAGCCTGCCGTCACGGGCAACTCCCCAACAAAGGCACATATAGTGCGCAGAGAGGTTTTTTTAGGCACATAGCTTCTTCCACAATAAGAGCGAAGAAATGTCTATGCGAGGGGCGCATCCCATTGATATAGGCAAATTATTCCATTGTATGGAAAGATTAAGCTAAACAGAAAAGGGCACATCTCATATTGAAATAAGGAGGCGTCTCTTCAAGCAGCCCGATATCAGCATTACTTCAGGCATACTTTTTGCATTTTTGCACAGGAAATGTAGAAAAAAATCATAAAGCTGTCACAAAGAAATAAGGCAGCGCCCCGCTATTGTTTCATTTGAAGCAGTCTTCAAATTCAGTCCGCAAGTAATAAAGCCTCACCATTTCAGGATTAGCCTATGTATAGTTTTCGCAGGTATACGTTCCACTCGGCCTAAAAAATGCCCCAGTATTTATAAAAGCGCACAGCCACTGTCCGATTGATAGAGAAAAGCATAATAAAAGACCGACAATGAAATTAAACGCAAAGACAATATGACGCATCGAACACACTCCCCTGTGCGTTGAAAAAAAAAAAACGCGCACCGAAACGTTGGAAAATGAGTGCGTTGAGCAAGACCCCCTGTGCCCTGTGTGTCTACAAAGAATGGAAAAATACCAAGTCATGTTTCGCAGGAAATTGACACCATGAGGTCTGCTTTCATTACTTCCTCTTTGTGCGCTCGGGCCACCGAAGCTATATTTTCTGTTACTCGCAGGGATCGACGGGAGAGTCGTATGTTCTCGCTTTACACCAGAAGCAGAATTCTGCTCTTCATTAAAATCCATCGGGGTCACCGTTTTGTTGGCGCCACGGCAAAAGCTCATTTAATTTTCGTAAATCAGTCGAAGGCATGGCACGCCACTTAAACTAGCGAACAACGAAGGCCCATTTCGATTGAGCAGCTGGTGCACGTTAAGAGCCCCAGGTGGTCGAAATTTCTGGAGCCCTCCGCTACGGCGTCTCTCATAATCATATGGTGGTTTTGGAACGTTAAACCACACATATCAATCGATCAATCAATCAATTAAGCATCTTGTAAACGCTCGTCCTCTGTGCGATGCAGTCCCTTGGTGCGGGCAGCGGAAGACATCGGCCACCTGCCGCTGGGAGTAGGCGCGAACCAGCGGCGGCTGCTACTTTTGAAAGAAACCCGGGGAAAATGACTCGGCTCTATTTCTTCCGGGTGACACGCGAGCGCAGTCGCATTAGCGCTTCGCAATCATCGCGCGAGGCTTTCGGTTTCCCTGCGAGGGCGCATGCATCGCGATAAAAGTAATGCGACGACGTGCTTCCCCGGCGCCCTGGAGACCGTGCTGTCCAAGGATGCCGAGGAGAAGCTGCACCGCCGTGCCTGGGGCCACGTATACACGCCAGATTAACCCAGAAAACGAACAGTGCGCCGGCGAGGGGCATGGCCGCGCATGCCTTCACGATAGCGCTGCAGCTGGAAACCGCTATCGCAACGCCTCTGCAATCCCGGGGTTGAATGAACACCCGTCGCTGCGGTCCGGCAGCGGCCGCGCCAGCCAATCTTGGAGGCGACGCACTCGAGGCCGCCGTGTGTGAATGTGAAGACGTGCAGAAATTGCGCAAGCTGATGGCGAGACTGTTCACAGCCGGCTGTTCTTTCATACCGTCTGATGAGCGTAACCGGGAAAGGCGTGATCTCTTAGTTCCAGCACCTTCCTCTTGTTTCTTTGGTTTCGCGGTCACGTAGCATTCAATGAATGTTCTCCGAGCGAGAAGAAATTACATTAATGAAGGATTTACCAAGCATAGCAGTATAATGTAGGAAAGATCTGTAGAGAGCCAAATTCATATTAAAAGAATCAAATGAATCTAACAATACTTCATCAGTTTTCTTTTTTTTTACTTCTGCATTTAATGATCCAATAGCCACGATTTCTCAAGGAAAATCTTGTCGTACTATATAGGTGAAGTGTATGCGAGAATATGGGGCGGGACAATATGCGTCGTTCCGGTAAATAGTGGAGCGCTTACCTGTCCGATGCGGAGACCGTTCTTGAGCCAGTGGATGGTGGGCGGGGGATTGCCCCCAGCCTCGCATTCGATCACCAGAGACTCGGACTGGGCGACCGTCATCACGTCAGGAGGGGTGTTGCGAAGCTTCAGGTGTGACTTACGTAGCAGGTGGCTGCCAGGACCTGCGCCGGAGCAAGTGCCCGTCAGGCAACGGCCGCCCGAAAACTAACCGGTCGGCAATCAGAAAAGGATGTTCCGACACTCACCTACTCGGTTGCCTCTCTGTGACTTGGACACGAACAGCTGCACAAAAGAGCAGACATTGCGGTACTGTTTAGTTACCCGAACATGGAACAGTCAATGCACATGGTCGTTTATTTTTATTGAACGCTGCAGCGAGACCTCCACGGGCTTTTGAACGTTTTTCTTGATTTTGTATATAAGCGACAATAACATATGCACCCTTGAAAACTGTCAAATGTGCATTGTTCACAATTTGAGGAGCCTTTCAAAAGCCTTCAATAAATTCTTGGAAAGTGCTATGGCAATGACTGAGCCCACGTGACCTCTAATGAGCGGCTTGGAATGTTCAGCTTGCCTTGGAAGCTCTGAGGCCACATAATGGTTCAAGTGCTGAAAAGAACAAGCACTTAGGGAGCGTTGTGGGTGCAGTAGTCCAGCTCTCTTGAAAGTGATAGCAATACATCTATACTCAGCGTTCGTAGAAGAGCTGCAGGAGCCTCACTTTTTCTCCCGCGTTTATCTCTCACTACGCTATAGTGGATCTTGAGTGGTACTACAAGCCAACAATTGAAAGCTGCGATCTAACTTTCATTCACATCTCCCGGATACGTGAACAGCATACTGATTCGTCACATATCTTTTATTTTGTTTTATTAAATTTCGCATTGAGTAACATGCTCGCCCTGATGGTCCTGAGTTTCCTCGAAACGTTTCAAATAACAAGGTGACCGCCCACACTTCTTATATACTTTTGTGTGCTGTGCATGTATACAGAATCTTGATTGCCTCTTTTCCTGCAGCGTCATGGGCCTTCCCTGATGTTGATTTATCAATAGCATGCAAAGCGAAAATTGTGGCGCTTCGATTTCATTCAGTCCTGATAAGCACATATTCACGCGTACTCGAAAGAAGGCGGGCAATGGAAACGCCCTCTGACGTAGTGTGTGACGCAGTTTCAATGATAAGTATGCCGCGACAAACACTGATGCTGCACGTCACAGCAGATGCTTGTCAGGCAAACCATGCCATATCGATATCTGCCGGGATGTTTGGGCTTTTAAGTTGCGCTTTTCGTGGAGCTTCTGCCCACATATAGCCGCCTTTTCCGCTCCCTCCACGCGCTCTGCGTTCCATGTTGCCTACACTGAGTGTTACATTAGTTCATGCGTGCCATTGTTCTTCCTTCATTTGTTTCATCTCCCTTTTTCCTTTTATTCAGAGCAGGGAGGCAAAGTGGATGCTTTTTCAAGGGTAAAAGGGAGCTGAAGTAAAGCACGACCTGCTCTACATGGGTCACACAAATGAACGTCCGTAAGGGTACAATAGCATCAGTTAACTCAATGATGTTAATTTTTTCACGTTGGTTATGTCAGACTTATTGACATATGAGCTGCAAAAGCCATGATATGGCTAATAACCTTTCATTCATATAAAACCCGTATTGTCCTTAAACGTGCACGCAAACACACACACACACACACACACACACACACACACACACACACACACACACACACACACACACACACACACACACACACACACACACACACACACACACACAAATAGTTCATTTAACTGTAAGTTCACTAAAACAAATATTCACAATACGGAACATCATAGGAACACAGCACATGCCAAGGCAAAAAGGAAAAGTTTACTTTGAAAACAGAAATGCTTTCATTTTAAAACGCAAGGAGAGACTATTTCATCGGGCCAGACAGGGTAATGCTTTGGTTTCGCAAGTCGTATCGGAACGGCATCGCCCACTGCCACGAAACAGCCCGTGCAAAGCCCCTTCCCGGTGGGACTGAACGAAGTTCATCTTTAGAGCTTCGACATTTGTTTCGTTATCGGTTGACGATAAAATTCCATGGCCATTCGCAATGTCTATAGTTACCTTCAGCTACTGTCTGGACGCTGCATGATTTCGAGCTTCTCTGACAGAGGCAACCACTTCTGTTTTGTAGAACTCATACAAAAATGGGAACTGCGCTCATGTTACACGTAACGAAAATGACCGAACCATAGCGATAAGACAGACACAAAAAAAAAAAGGTAGGGAGAGAGGCGACTGCCGGGCACGTGGCTTCTTTTTGTCTCCTGCACAGAAGTTTTGCCTCAGAATGCTGCCTGCACGTGCGACGTTTGCGCAGCCGATGTTAGACAGGCAATATCGGGGTGGTACGCATCTGCTATACCAGTGCTTTGGAATGCAAAAGTTCGTTGAATTGTTCTCAGAAGTTAGCCTGGGTCTGCGGAGTAAGTTTGCCCAAGTGGAATATTCGCTATTCGAAAATTTGTTTATCTGAAATATTTTTGCTTAAAATGCACAGTAATACCACAGGGGATTTTCTAAAAGTGTGTAATTTGAAATTTTCATTAAATTGATGTTCATACAACTGAAAGTTCACGTTATCACTTCTGGGATCGCCAGCGATTGGGCCTGCAACTTCGTCAAGCTGTCTATCGATGGCAGCGTTTTCCGCCCACACCTTCGTATCGTTACACTGCCCTGATGCGAAAATAAACAGCGTTTTCGCTGTGAAAGCACCACACTCACCCCGACGGCGTTACGCTGCCGGGCCCCTTGGCCGACCAGTGACCTGCCCAGGGCGACAGGCAGCAGCAGCAGCACCAGGACGCTGATGAGGCTCGCAGTTCGCGGGCGCATTCCGTTTGCCGGGATCCGCACGAGTGGCGTCTGGACGCTCAACACACAGAGGCACGCTTCCTGCGTTGTGAGAGAGATTTATTTCAGCGCTTGTCGTGATTGTGCTATAGTGTAACAGAGAATTCTATAAAGATCTGTCTACACACTGCGGGCCTCCAGGCGTATGTCGAGCTGTTGTAGTGTGTGTGTCGTTCGTGAATTTTTTTGTCTCCTGAAGACCCTCCACGTAGTTCGAAGACATGGAACAATTGAATTGTGACCCCGTTCATCAGCAACAACTGTGGGGAAACTACGTCATCTCATGCTAAGGGTGTGCACGCACAGATGCTTCCACGAGGTATGGAGATGTGACATGGTTGCTGCTTTCCGGAATCTAGTGGGCCTCGTGGTTCCTTAGTTTATATCACGTTTTGCTTAGAACTGTTCATAAAATAAAAGCTGAGTGCCGTGCATGCAGATTGGTCATAAAAAAAACACAGTTCTCTTTTGTACTCTGCTTTCATTTGTGACCATGAACCAACTCGCCGACCGAGACAATTCATTAACAGAACTATCTGCATGGGAAACACAAACTTTGTGGCACTGTGAAAAATCTTGTTTTGTGTCTGAGACTCGTACACATTAGGCAGTATCAGTTCTCTTCTCATTCGACCCACAATATCTCTTTTGCTTCGACGGACCATCCGTCAATGCTACTCGCCCGGAGATTTGGGATCGAAGAGCGTGCGCTTGCGATATTTCTCTCTGCAGCAGTATCTCTTTTTATGCGGCATAATCATTAGAAGGAGTCTCTCGTTTACCTTATGCACAGCCCCGCCGCGGTGGTCTAGTGGCTAAGGTACTCGGCTGTTGACCCGCAGGACGCGGGTTCGAATCCCGGCTGCGGCGGCTGCATTTCCGATGGAGGCGGAAATGTTGTAGGCCCGTGTGCTCAGATGTGGGTGCACGTTAAAGAACCCCAGGTGGTCGAAATTTCCGGAGCACTCCACTACGGCGTCTCTCGTAATCATATGGTGGTTTTGGGACGTTATACCCCACATTTCAATTACCTTATGCACAACATATTTCATTATGCAGTTGTGATCATTTAAATTTATCGAGACTGTATTGACATGTGTGCGTGCGTGCGTGTGTGTGTTTGCGTGTGTGCGCGTTCGTGTGTTGAAAATACACAGAACATGCAATGCCTCGCATCTACCTTAACTCCTGGAGGAGATGATATTCAGTGCGTCGGAATCACTAGAGCGTTTCCACCGTCTCATCCGGTGATGTGCAGTTGATTTTTTAATTTTTTTGCCAAAAAAGAGGAGGCCCAAAACGTTAGAGGGAACAAACGGATGTATCTTTCTCATCCACTGAAAGGTGACCAACACCGCTACACGTCTCATCCGCAACACTGACGAATAGACCATTGCCGCGTCGATCCGTAACAAGATGCGCTATGCGACGCACACCTGTGGTGGTCGGCACTCTCTTCCCGAAGCCGCATCCAACGCAAGATTCGCATGCTGCCACGCGTAGCGTCCGGGAAACTCAAGAGTCCCACTTGACTCCGCAACAGGTAAGGCTGTCATCTTCTCGAAGCCTTTTGAATTTCGGCGCGCTCCTCGGGTTTCGAGCGCATTGTCGCGACAGGGCGTGCGAACTCGTGACTGTACCATGAGCTCCGAAGACAATAGAACCGGTTGTTGCTGTTTTCGGCCGCAATGTGAGCAGCATCGAGATATCGTGACATCGTCTTAAGCCGACACGCATCTCGCAATGCTTCCTTGTCATCGACCGCTACTGCGAGCACGCTTTACTCACAGATCCTCAAGGCCTACGCAGAATGCATTTTCGTCCATTTCGAAATGCTCATGATACAGAGTGCTCGAGCCAAGTTCTGTTTAATATTATTTTCTAGCTGGTACTCGCCCCGAACATTCAGATGATCGATGTTGTCATGAAAAAGCATGGGAAGTGGGTGTATACAATAGTTTGAAGTGTTAACGCAACATATATCAAGAATTTTAGGTTACACTCGTGTTACGTGCGCACATCACTCACGGATTCAAAACAGACATCAAATTTTCTAGTATGACGACTGGTATATATGTGCCATCATTGGAGGTAACCACGTGATGTCATGACGAACATGGTTTCTACAGATAATTCTGGCTCTTATCTACGCGTACGAGTTGAAAATCTCACCGACATGCGCAGAACACAATAAGCTAAAAACGAAACTATGTGCGTTGCTTGGCCCTCAGTCACCCTGTCTCAAACCGTGCGTACTGTATATGTGCACAGACATCGAGCACATTAGATGGCTGCAACGCTATTTCCAGGTGAGTGCGGCTGGCAGACTAATTAACCAGGCAGATGAAACAACGCCGACGCTGTTTACCCGAACGTGAAAAGCCTGTCGAGGTACGCTTTGTGTCGGCAGCCAGATACTGTACACTTTCGAAAATAGGACAGTCAACAAAAAGTGGCCACTGCACAGTCGGAGTGATGATCTCCGCCACTCGTAATTACCGACACAAAGCGCGACCAATGAGCCTCGGTGCCTCAAAACACGCTAAAAAAGAAAACCTGGCGATTTCACTGCAACATGTGCTATGGTCGGCGGGCGTAGACGCAACGTCGAATGACGCAGTCTGATCACACGGGGCGAGCAGTCAACTTGAAGTGTTCGCATTAGCGGTATTCGGCAGAGAAATTGATGATGATAATCGCGACACTTCATGCCAACTCATTTACATAATTCCACGTGTTTTCGAGCCATTTAAAAGTAATTATGCTGCTGCCGACAAACCACGAATTAAAACTTGGCTACTACAATTTACGGGAACATGGTCAATTTCCAGTCCTCAATTCAATGAAGAATTTTATATCGCAGCTGTCTTGTTTCTTGAGAGCAAAAATAACACGCCGTTGTTTGTCTCCGTATGAATTCCACCCACTCGCAAAGTATGCAAGCTCAGAATAGATGACTGTTTTGAAATAACTAATAAATGTTCTTATTTTAGTGTCTAAACAGACTTTTCATCGCAACGTCACTTCCTGCGTTAAACGACCTTCACACGATCAAAAGCACTGCGTGTGCTTCAGTGACCGCAGAAGCTCTTATCTCTCGGGATGGGCAGCAAGCACTAATCGTATCTTTAGTTACAGCAGGTATATGCGCGTTATATAAGAGTAGCCACAGGATTTCTGCCATGATATCTTTGAGAAGCACGGAATGTCTGGGAATCGAAACCACGCTCCACTACAGGGACATCTCTGCTGGATCTTTTCATATTTCATTTCGTTTTTCATCCTTATTTTTTAGTTTTTCCTCTCATTTTCATGCTCCTCCGAATAACTCTTACGCGGTTCCTACGGAATTCCACTCAAAAGAGACTCGTTATACAATTTTGTTATGTGTACATTTTGTTTCGTTATGTTTGGTTTTATTAATAATATATAGAGTTCATTGGACTATGCCCTTCAGCTCTCTTTGAACTTGTTGCATTCATACCTCTCAGTGCCCTGCACGTCACACACGTTCTTCAACTGCACAGAAAAAAAAGGGAAAGCAGTGACACACACGCGAACGACTCGTCTGTACGCACAGTGTGGACAGAACTGATGATTCGGCTCACGTACAGAGGTGACATCAGTTATTTCTACACGCACGCTCTAAGCAGTAGCATTCGTACGATAAACAAATTAGTTGAATTCACTTTAATAGAAAGAAACAAAGGAGAAGAAAATCTGAAAATCGCAAATAAAGCTCGTGGCACAGTGCAGTGTGTTCATACAAATGTTGAAAAAACCGACACTCTATCAAAATTTAAAGCTAAACATGGCTTTGGGGGGGGGGGGGGGGCTACTGCAATAAAAGGCACAAAAGTTAGCACACGCATACATCAATGCTATAGAGCAGTGATTAAACAGGGGTTATTGTCTTGAGCTTCAGTTCCCGCATCAAAGTGCTTTCATCACGTCAAAACAGCCTCGCGTGTCGTGTACATTTATTAGATTGCTCCCGACAACCATAACTTCTGAATAGTGCAGCTCTTAACGTGTATAATTAGGGCACTTGGAAACAGCCAACCTCCCTCTAAAAGCAACAATTAAAAACGCAATAATAGACTCATATGATGAGCATGAAGCGAGCGTGATCGCAGTTCATGCTTATCCACTGATGAAGCGCAGTCACATAACCCATGGGTGTCAACGGCATCACCATTGCACTCAGCGCCAGTTCAGTTTTGCTGTACTTAGAGAAATTCGTCGAAATTGACGGTAAATTTTCACAGCTTCAACTTGTTGCGTGTCTTGAATCCGAATGAAGAGCTGAACTCTTCTGGTGGCACTATTCATGTCCTTCATCACTATGCGCATGATCTTTTGGCTTGAAAGGTTTAAAATACGACTCACGGCAATTTGCCAAGTGCGTCCAATCTCGAACGCTCAATCTTCTGAGCATTTTCAAATAGACCAAAACGATGCAAGTGCCAAGGTTCGAATCTATGACCTACATCTCGTAAGCTGAGTGTGCTAACCATTGTGCTCTTAACCACCTCACTAAACCCCCACGACTGCATGCGGTTCATATACCTCGACCATTTCTACTGGTGATGGAGGAGTGAGCACTGTGGCGGCGTTCTTACGCCACCGTGGCGCTGAATGAGGCAGTGCAACTGTGGTAAAAGCATGGGCGAATTGGTGATTTACTCTTGGTTACAACGCAAAAGGCACAGAAAGGGATACGAGCTTTTTATCCCGTTCTCGCGTATGTATTCTGTGCTCATTGCACTGTAGTAAAGAGTGCAGGAACATTAAACGGAAATAGGGGTGCCTACTACAGACGAAACGGGAGTGACTTGATGTACAGGGGGATGTGCGTAAGTATCCTACCTATTGCTCATTTTCCCGTGTATATAGTTAATCACTTCAACAAGCAAAGAGAAGATAGCGATTGCAAAAACAGCAGCGAAATCAGAAACGACAACGATGAGCAAGCGGGATAACCCTTACGCATAGTTAGACGACTGCTGTGGAGTTTCGCGCCATTTTTTTTTTGTCGTCGA